TTTTGGTTACTAAAGCTTTTGGTTGGTATTTTTGCTTGTTTTAGCGAGCGTTTTGTTTCTTTTAGCTTCAACAACAGCTTCAACTTCTTCAGCGTTCACACTGCATTCTTTTGTTTCATTTTCCTCCTCCTCTGACCTTTTTCCTGCGTTTTGGAATAACCAGCAAATGCATCGTCATTGCAAACAGAAACTACAAACGTGGTTTTTGCAWCACGTAGCAGCTCCTTCGTCTCACATCGCTTAGAAGTAGAGCTGTGTCTGTTTCCCAGTGTGTGTGTGTGCGTGCGTGCGTGTGTGTGTGTGTGTGTGTATACAGTATGTGTGGTTGTGTAGGCCAGCCACACTCGAGAGCAGACATATGGTTTCCTGTCTGTGTTGAACTCAAATCAGAAACATCTCCAGCACGAGGTGAACGAGCCCGAACACACAGCTGAGTGACGGTGAGGTAAACTAACATCAAAGAGCCACCCTCCTCCTCCTCCTCCTCCTCCTCTGTCACAGAGAATAAAGCAGGTCAGAGTGTTTTTTTCCCCACACAACCCCGACTGATCTGTATCATTTATAAGAAATATTTTACATATGTAGTTAAGGTTTAAAAAAGCCTGCAGACAATAAACTGAATATTCCTCTTAAAATACATCTCAGTGACTTTGTTTCAAACATTTTTTTAAACTCAGCATCAGACACAATCATTTGTTACTTGTCCCCTGTCTCTTTAACATCCTCCTACCGTTTCTGACACTCCCACTTCAGCACTATAACATTTGGGGGGAGGGGATCTCTGTGCGGCGAGATCTCGGCTGCAGCCTGAGCCCCAGGGAGGAGCTTTGTGTAAATGCAAGCGTTCCATGTGACCTTCCCCAACATGTATTCTGAGGACTAACAAACTGTACAAGKTATTGTTCAATACCTCTCCATTAACTGTTATGAGTCAACTCTGCCTGTTAGCAAAATATCTCATGAACCACTGGATGGGGTTCTTTCTGAAACTTACAGYTAATAATTGTTGGATGTACAGTAAGAGGACAGTGGTTTATGACCTGGTGACCAGCACCTGTCCTGGTTTGAGTTGAAAATTGCAGAATGTTTACATGTCCACGGTTGCAAATCGGTATTTTACGCTAAGCTCATTATTTTACTTCCCACATCATACCCCCGCCCCAAACTGGCTTCATGTTTAGGATTCACTGGAATACACATTAAGTTTGGTTCTTCTGATAAATATAACTTATCATCAATGTGATTGTTGGACAGGGATAATTGAAGCTGTAGCCTTCTCTYCAGATGTTAAAATACATCTGTAGTGTTCTAGATGTGTCAAAAACTAAAWTGAGAAAGGTTTGAGATCCCTGCAACAACTCTGAGAGTTTTTTTTTCCAGAATGTTTAAAATTCAAGCATCTAGTGAGATGAACATCTCTAATTACTGCATTTAAAGCTGAACTTCTGTTGTTTTCACACCTTTTGGCTGAAAGATAGCTGGTTGTTTGTGTTTCTCCCACACATCAGTTTATGTAAACTCACATGTGTCTCTCTGTTTGCTGGCCTGCTGTCTCTGCTCCATGCATGCACTCAGTGAAACCCCTGAGGGTCAGGGTTGTGGTTCCTTCCTCCCATTCAGGACACATGCAGCAGGAAGTGCTTGTTTAGCTGTTGGACCGCCGCCATGACCTATTCCTCCACAAATGCCTCACATTGTTCCTCCCCTGCGTCACATTTTTCTGACCTTCTTMTAGTAGTGTTAGCACAAACATAGGGTAGTTTTATTTGATTAGAGGTTGTTTTTTTTTT